TGCAGTGTGGAACTGTGGGGTGTCTCCTAGAGATGCAGGGACACTGCAGTATGGGATTGTGGGGTGTCCCCAGAAGCTGCAGGGACACTGCGGTGTGGAACTGTGGGGTGTCTCCTAGAGATATGGGGACACTGCAGTGTGGAACTGTGGGGTGTCCCCTAGAGATGTGGGGACACTGCGGTATGGGACTGTGGGGTGTCCCCAGGAGCCACAGGGATACTGCGGTGTGGCATTGTGGGGTGTCCCAGAAGCTGCAGGGACACTGCAGTGTGGAACTGTGGGGTGTCCCCTAGAGATACAGGGACACTGCAGTGTGGGACTGTGGGGTGTCCCCTAGAGATGCGGGGACACTGCGGTGTGGGACTGTGGGGTGTCCCCAGGAGCCGCAGGGACACTGCAGTGTGGGACTGTGGGGTGTCCCCAGGAGCTGCAGGGACACTGCACTGTGGGATTGTGGGGCATCCCCTAGAGATGCAGGGACACTGCGGTATGGGACTGTGGGGTGTCCCCAGGAGCTGCAGGGACACTGTGGTGTGGGACTGTGGGGTGTCCCCAGGAGCTGCAGGGACACTGCAGTGTGGGACTGTGGGCTGCTGCATCTAACATAGCACATAAGCTCTGTTGCCTCCTCGAACCAGAACTCAAAGTCCTCCTGACGCACCCTTGCCCTGAGCAGCGGGGCCGTGGCTGGGCGACTGCACAGCCCCGTCCTGGTGCCCTTCATCTCTACCCTCGGACACACCGGCACTTGCAGCTGGTTTCCAATGCTAACCCTCCAGGAAAAAGGAAAACTGGATGAGCACGAGTTGAGAATAAAGCAAACTTGTGTGAAACAGTGTAAACTGTACACAAAGGGTTAAAGACACTGCCAAGATTCGAAAACTGCGCCACGGGCCAGGACAGCCGCGCCACTCTGGATGTAGTAGAAAATTCAAAAAATCAAAATAAAAACCCAACAAAATGCCTTCTGTAGCCAATGTTTCTGGAGTGACCTCGTCTGCTGGGTCACGTGGGAAGAGCCGGTTCTCGGCCACCATCTGCGGAGGCGTCCCAGCTCCGGGAGCGCTGGTGCGCATGGGGCCGCCCAGGAGCGTTCCACAGTCAGCCCTGTGGGAGCTGCGAGCAGAACCTGGGGACAGTGGGTGGGCAGCACGGAGATCGGGAGGCGGCCTGAGCGGAGTCCGTTCCGGCCCCCGGGTGAGTGACAGTCCTACCCTGCCGGTGTGTCAGAGGACTGAAGCCTGCAGCCGTGCCCAGGGCCGCCTGCGGCAGGGGAGGCTGTGGGAAGGGCACGTGGGCATGCCCCGTCCCCCCTCGCTGGCGGCCCTCCCCGGCCCTGGCTGGTGGTCAGCACGGACCAATGTGCCCGTGGTAAGGGGTCAAAGGAAGAAAGGAGCAGGGAGGACAGTGGCAAGTGGCTCATAGAGGAAACACAAGTGAACACACTCTCTCCAGCCACGGTTTCTGCAGGGGCATCCGCAGGGGCTGCCTCACGCCTGCGTCCTGGAAACGCAGCCAGGAACCGCCCAGGCTACTTCTAGAAGCTGCCACGGCTGCACGCCCCGGACCTGCCCATGGTGCTGGGCACTCCTCCTCCACGACGCAGCATTTTTGCCACAATGAAGCATCTGTCTCCCACACACTCTTTCTAAAAAGCCTGACTTCAGGGGTCGGGGCCAACCACTACTCATGTTGCCGAAGTGAAAACGTCTCAGGACAAAGTGAGAGCTCGGAATGCCGGCTACGAGTCACGGCTACTCACAAACGCAGACGGAGAAAAGAAAAAGGAAAAGGAAAAAAGAAAGACAAAGAAAAGAAAAAAACAACCAACCAAACAAGTGTGCACCCACCACACGCATCAGATGACAAGGCATCTTCTACACGTAGCCAAGCGTCAGCCGCAGAAACGACCCTGTGCGGCGCGCCTGTCACTTCAGCGTCACTCTCCAACGGGAGCAGTGCCTGACCCCGAGGAAACCCACCTGCAGGCAGATGGCCAGGTTCACTCTGCAGCCGAAGGAGGTGCTCACGGCCCGCGGGTGCAGACCCAGGTCTTTAAAGAGCTTCGAGAAGGACTGCGTGAGCGCTATCCGAGGCCGCTCCTCGGCCACCACCACACACGTCCGCACGCGGGACAGGTCCAGTCCTCGCGCCTGCAAGTAACAGCAGTGAGAGGTCAGCCTTCTGGGGCCCAGGGGTGGGCCTCCTTACCCGGATGGATACAGGCAACACGGACTCTGCACGGACATTCATTCCCGGGGCTCTGCGTGTCCCTGTCACTCCACTGTCCTGGGCCGTCCCAGCCGTCTTAAAGAACAGAAGGTGCAAGCACAAGGACACGGGGAGACGCAGAACTGGACGAAATGATCACAGGAAAGCGTTGTGGGAAGCAAGACACGCCTACGGGCAGGGACGCCTGAGAGCACAGCCTGGATAGAGATGAGAAAACCTATTCCCGATACAGAGTGGAAAAGGGATGTGTCTGGACGATGTCGGAAAGACAGCACTGCGTTAAGTGCCACGAGGCTGAGAAGGTCCGTTTGATCCTGAGGACTGTGTGGACTGAGCTCAGCTCGGGTCTGCACCGCAGCCAGTCAACGGAGCAAGGCGGCAGGGCTCAGAGGAGGACCTCGGGGAGCTGAGCACGGGGTTCTGGGGCTGGGGGCCGCGGGGGTGGGGAGGGAGGTGGGTGGTGAGCGACAGTCTCTAGCAGAACAGGAGCTGCGGAAGGATGACTGCCATAGGCTGGACCCCACAGCAGCACCCCCCGCCCCAGCCCCGGGCCCTGCTCTGCAACCTGGGCTCAGGGCCGGGACTCAGCCTCCCACATGCTGCAGGGGGACCCAGCTCGGGGGGCGCAGCACTCTGGCTCCGGAGGTTCCTGCACGGATCTGATCTCACACGCACGGAGTCACACAGAAAACACTCCAGCTGGGTGACACTGGTGCTTGAGGGACGCATGTGTGTCTTCGGGGAGGCCGTGCGGCCCGGGTCTCGAGGCGGTGCACCTGGAGCCAGAGATCCAAACCTTGGCTCCAAAACTGATTACGTGTAAGGGCGTGGAAAGGGCACGTGTCTTCTCTGCAACGTAGGATTCCTCTTCCCTAACAGCAGTGCTTTCTAGTTCAGAAGCCTGTCGTACGGTTCAATCAATCAGTATGTCAAGGGCTTGGAAATATGTAATCATTTTATAAAATGATATAAGTGGAAATAATTATGTCTTATAAATCTCTTTTTCTATGCACATTAATAATTTCAAGCAATTATACATTTGTTTATGTAGCTTAATATCAACATTATTGTGCCTCGTTTTCTTGTTCGAGCTTACTGCATTCGGTCCAAACAAGAAAACAAAATTCAGGAGAAAAACGTAATGCTTTACTCGTTGTGCATAGATAACGTATGTGCTACACACGGATACACAAATGTCATCTGTGCATACACGAAGACGTACCTCTGGGCGTAGAGACAACGGGCAGCCGCTGGAGTGTAAATCGACACTGGTCGTGTGACTAACCCCTTCCTTACACGGATAACGACTACCTCACCAGGAAAATACGTCTTTCAAATGCTACTGACTTAAATGGAGGGAAATGCTAATATTCTGGTTAGGACGCACGGTCTTCAAGGAAAATAAAAACGAGTGGCTAAGTTCTACCCTACGGCTCGAACACCAACATCAGAATAAAATTAACTTCACCCAAGATGTGAGTTCAGCCACAGAAGGAAAAGCAATTCGGGGCCTTTGCGGCAGAACTGATGGGATCACAGACACCGTGGGTGTGGGGTGCACAGCCTGGCCTGTAGCCTTGGGGCCGTGGGAAGTTACGCACCTTATAAAACCAAGTTTTCACACGGAGTCGGTTTTGGGAGCTTCAGGGGACAGCGGATTACAGTTTGGCTTTTGTGAACGATTATTTTGCTTCAGGAGCCCTTCCCACGGCCCGTGACACGGTGCCTCCCCAGGACGCTCGGACGTGCTCCCCAAAGCACTTTGAGGCCTGGGACGGGCGGCTTACCTTGAGGGACTCTGTCTGCGAGCCCAGCCCCTTGGTGCAAAGTTCCATGACTGAATAGGAGCAAAACGTATCCCGGACTTTGTACTGGCTCACGGCGAGAAGCCACAGGGCAGGGCTGGTCTCCAGCTCGGAAGGCGGGATGAGAATGGACTGGTGCCCGGAGTACACGCTGCAGGGAGACACGGGAGGGCGTGTGAGGGCGCGACTGTGGCGCTTGCTGTCCGTTCGTGGGGAAGGGGGAGGGCGGGGGGGGACCCCGTCACGGCCCCTCGGCTTTGCAAATACAACGCAAACGTGTGTCACAAAGGTGCTGTGAAGGCACGAGACAACTACGGGAGTCCCCGTTCAGGGACCGCCTTTCGGGGAGCTCACCCGAACCCTCCAGACCCCGAGGCTTACAAAATATAGGGAATGCAGGTTGCTTTTATAAGAATGTGTGTTTTCTTTGGAGGGAGGTCGAATGAAGTCTTTTGTCCACTCTTGTGATCTCTATGCCGGGCGCGCGGCTTGACCTCACGGCCCCGCGAGGAAGGGTCGTGCATTCTGCTGAGCCAGCCGGGCGTCCTGTCTCTTTTCCTTCCTTTCTTTCTTTTTTAAACAACTGGCTTTTGCTGCGTTACAGATGGAGGAACCTTAAACCCCTGCATGTTGGAAACGACAATTCAGAAAGCACGAAGGTCATCCAATAGTGAGTGGTTCCGTTGGTGCTACGCGCATTGGGATAAGACCTCGTAATCCCGGGCCGCTCGCTCTTTTGCTTAATTCAAGTTAATGTGTAAGCCGGGACGGTTGATTAGTCTGGTCGCCCACGAAGGGACAGCAGAGGAAGCAGAGGGAAACGCTGTGTGAAACACACACGGTCTCTCAAAGCACAGTCAACGGCCACTGTTGGTTGAGTGAGTAACAGAAAGTCCCAAGTAAACCAGTTTCTCCTTCTAAGCCAGGGTACTTCCTCCAGGGAGGAACGGATCCTGAGTTGAGAGGGAGAGTTTAGAGGAAATTTACACCCTGAGCTGAGCGCCCCCGTGGTCCCACCGCTTCCTTCCCACCCCCTCGGGGTGCTGGCCGAGCGAGGGACAACCACTAGCACGAACTTTAGCAGATCTCCGAGGCTCTCGGGCACTTGCAATTAATACCCGTTGAAGACCCTGTTTTTGCTTCGGGAAGTGCCTTGGCCCATTGCTATGCGGCCCTCAGAGGCCCCTTCCGGAAGGACCTGGCTCTGATGCCACGTGAGGGCTCAGGAGCCACCAGCCAGCGGCCACCTGGACCCTCACCCCGCCTTGACCTGTGACCTGCTCACCTTCGCAGGTGCGGCCCCTTCCTCGCGCCCCACACCTTTCCACGGTTAACGCCAGGTCCCGACAGCTTTCCGAGGCTCCTGTCAAGGACGTCATGGTCTCTCACACACAGCCCCTCCCTGTAGCACCGGGTCCGTCGCTTCCAACAAGACCACAGACCCCACCAGCTGCTGAGCGGCGGAGCACACTCCAGCAACGCGCCAGCGTGCGCGGGAGGAACCGAGTGTTACCCGAGGAAGGATGCTGGATCATCGGGTGGGAGCTAATTTGAAGGGGCAAGTTCATTCACGAGCATGTCAGGATCTTCCTGAGCCTTCTGAGAAAGGACATCTGGGGACAGACAGTCTGTTTAAAGGGCTTCCCACAGCCCCGAACAGAGTCAGAGGCAGATCCGGCTCGAGCGGGGAGGAGATGTGCCGAGATCCGAGGACACACTGTGGTTCTCAGCCCCAGGAGAGGGTCAGGACAGCCCGACTTGCACATGTCCTCTGCGATCCTGCCGCTACGGACGGTCTGCAGGCCGCACAGTCACCCAGAGCGGCGCCCACCTCCGGGACGGGGCAGGAAGTCACCCTTGCGGTCAGTGTGGCAAACCAGGGAAGACCCCCTGCCCATGACTGTAGCAGTCGACATTCTGCCAGTTTTTCTGCAACGTCTGTCTTGCAGAAATGAACTCATTAATTTCTAATCATTTCTAATCACTGAAGATCACTTTATACTAAGGTTACTCAGGAGCCCAAACGGCACGACCACGGATCTTTCTGCGTCGGGAAGTCCCGCCCCGGTTCCACAGCTGCCGCGGCAACCACTGCCAGGAACGTCCAGTGATGTGCCCTAGAGCTCGCGGCTTGTGGAAACAAACTCTGACGCAGACGTCCTTCTGTCCAGAGCTGAGGCTCTCGGAAAGCAGTTTCCGTCTGGTGTGGGAAGCTGGCGTGTCCTATCCGTGGTCTCACTTTTGAGGCGTATCACGTTATTTTCTAAGTAACCTTCCGAGAATCATACACTTGGGGTCTGTAACAAACCAGGCATCTCCTTAGCTGTGCCCCTGTGTCTTGGGGCCAAGGGACGCCACCGCCCCGTACGCCCGGAGGTCCCACGGAGCGTCTGTGCAGACATTTTCCCCAGGGCTGTAAGACACAATGCTCTCTTCCCACTGGCAGGCAGCCCCTGGGAACTGGACACACACACGGGGCAGCCCCCGTGGCCTGGCTGGTGGAGGCCGGCGTTCATTCTGCAGCCCTGGGCAGACACTCCCCGTCTGTCCCCCGCCCGCGCGTCCAGGTGCAGCACACACACGTGCTGCTCCTCTGAATGAGAGGCTTGCCTGGTGGTGGACGTGTTAATGCCAACACGAAGGAGAAAGAACAAGCACGACAGAAAATCTTCTTCCGCTAAACGCACAAGAACGATCCCAGGGATCAAGTGTGGCTCCCGCACAAGGCAGACAAGGCCGCACGTCACACTCCTTCCCAGCAGGAAGCACGCGGCCGCTTCTCCAAAGTGCTGGGGCAGAGGTCACTCAACCCGTCCATGAGCCGGGGTCGACAGTACACCCAACTAGGTCTCCCTGCACGGTTTTTACCGCAGCTCAAGTTCGCGCGGTCGTGGGTTCTCGCACTTCCAGCGCTCACGCCAACACTTTCAGGACGCCTGAGCCCCTCGGCTTAGGGCGTCAAAGCGCGGGTAAAACCGGACCACGACATTCCTCTTATCGATGACAGCGTATCTCTGTGTTGTTCCCAGGGTTTTATTTTGTAGGTTCTATGTAAGGAGATCCAAAATGCAGGGAACGAAATGCAGAACACCGGGGGTTCGCCTCCTCCCAAACAAGCGTCAGGACGAGCGGTGTGCTGGGTCACAGCCGTCCCCCACGAGAGCGCTGGGGTCCGCGCGCGGAGGTCGAGGCTGGAGAAGAGTAAACACACTTGGGAAAACCAGGTTTGGTGCACCTCTCTCCTCATTCCCACTAACCGGCTGGGACTCGGCATCGGGAACAAAGTTAACAAGTGCCAGCAGCAGAGGACAGACGGAACCCCTTCCTACGGGCCCTTCCCTTGCTCAGCCCAGCCAAGGTCAACGCATTGGTTCCGACTCACCAGGACCGATCTCTTGGCACCGGCCACAAACGCGTCCTCAGACAGGGCAAACCTACCGGGCAGCAAGCTGCTGTACTGAGGACGAGGAGTCCCTGAGAATTCCTGTAACCAGAGCGAGTCTAGTCTAGATGCGAACCTTGGACAGAGCAGGATGATTAAGGAGACACGGGGGAGTATTTTCTCCACATCTGTGGCTCGCCTCTTGGTTCTCCTGACAGTCTTTGGTAGAGCGGTAACGACTCATTTGCATGAAGTCCATCCTATCACGGGTCACGGGCTTTTGGTGTCATGTCTAAGAAGTCACCACCGTGGCCCAAGTCATCTGGGTTTTTCCCTCTAGGAGATGAACAGTTTCATGTTTCACATTCAGGTCAAAGATCCATTCTGAGAGAATTCTTGTGAAGACGGTAAGGTCTGCGCCTTTTTTTGACCCACTGGCACATTCTATGGGTCGAAGACCCATTTTTCTGGCACACAGATGCACCATTGTCCCCGTGCCCCTTGTTGAAGAGACGACCTTGGCTCTGCTGCATGGACTTTGCTCCTTGGCCACAGACCAGTCCGTCTCTGAGCTCTCTGTAGAGTGAACCCTGATGTAAGTCACAGGCTCTGGTCACGACAAGGCATCAACTAGGATCCTAGATTCTTAAAAAAAAAAATAAAGAAGTCCCACCCGGGCAGGAGACGCTGCTGACGGGGGAGGTGGTACGTGCGTGGCCGTGGGAGGTCTGTGGGAAAGCTCTGCAACTTCCACTCAGTTTTGCTGCGAACCTCAAACTGTTCTGAAGAATAGTCTATTTAAAAAAAGGAAAACATGGCTGACTAGGAGGAAAAAGAAGACGTTTTGACACATAAAATTTCACACCCGTCATTTGGTGATTTCAGTTTATTAAACCGAGAAAACCAACCGTCAAAACCTGGGCACTCGGGCCTAGGCAGACCGTGGCTCACCACAACACATGTCACCCTGCCGTGGGCGGGGTACCGTCTGCAGGTGCGTGTCACTGACCCCGATGACAGGCTGTTCTCTTGTTTCAAAGAGTCTTACTGAGGCACCGCGTGAGCACCATGAATCCCACACCACGTGAGGCGCGCAACTGGAAGGTTTTCTCCATCTGCAGAGTTGGGTCCTCACCGCAACGCAGTCCCAGAATGTTCCCAACCCACGTGGGCTCCAGCCTGCTTCGCCCCCAGCCCCGCACAACTGCGGCTCTACTCCCCGTCCCCGTAGAGTGGCCTGTCCCAGACACTTCCTATAAATGGCATCAGCGATACAATCACGGAATGTGTGGTCTTCCAAGTCCGGCGTCTTTCTCTTTGTGGCTGTTTCCGAGGCTTATCCACACGACAGTGGCATCGCACCGTGTGGATATGAACCAACACCGGTCATCTTCTCACCGGCTGGCGGACCTGTGCGCTGCGTCTTTCTCTTTCTGTCTTGTTTTTATGAAGGCCACTGGGCACATTTCACGCTTCACAGCTTTGGATGTTTTCCCTTCTCTTTGGTGGATGCCTAGGAGCGGACCTGCTGGGTCATGCTGGGAGTTTGACTTTTAAGAATGTGCCGAACTGTGGTTTCACTATTTTACCTTCCCGCCAACAGCCTAGACTTCCAGTCTCTGCGCACCCTTGGCTACTGCTGCTCTGTGGTCTAGCTGAAACCGGAAAGTACAAGTTCTTCAGCCTCGTTACTCAAGGGTTTGCGGTTGTATCTGCTGCGGTGGGTATGGAGGGTTAGCTCACTGGTTTTAATTTGCATTTCCCTAAAAAATGTGAAGCATCTTTTCATGTGCTTGCAAGTCACCTGTGTCTTTTTGGTGAAATGTCTATTCAAACCTGTTGCCCATTTTCAAACACGGTGAGTGTCATCTTCTTGAGCTTTGAGCGTTCATTCTGTATCTGGTTGGAGGGACTCTACCCGGTCACGATGTGCACGTTTCCCCCCAGTCTGAGGCTCATATTTCCAACTTTCTTCAGAGTGTCTCTGGTGTGCCCATGTTTTAAATTTTATTGAAGCCACATTTTCGTGATTTCTTTTATGTATTTTACCACTGGCAACACATCTAAGAACTCTGTCTAATTCAAGATTACGGAGACTGACTCCTGTCTTCTTCTAAAAGTCTTAGCTCCTATACCAGTGTCTGCAACTTGTGAGTTTACTTACATGATGCAAAGTCAAAGTTGAATCTTTTTGCACGTCAAAGTCCCACATTCCCAAGCATCATCCACTGAAAACACTACCCTTTCGTCCTGACCTGCCGTGGTACCGTTGTTGAGAAATGATGTGACCACATGTAGGAGGCCAAGTGTCTCGACCCCCAATTCTGTTTCACTGGCTGTTTTTCCTGCATCTGCCTTCCTGCTACGTCCATGCCTGCCCACCACGGTCTGGGTACTACAGTAAGTGCTGGAATTGGGAAGTCTGAGTTTTCCAACTTTGTTACTCTACTCCAAAATTGTTCTAGATATTGTGCATTTTTTTTAAACTTTAGAAAAAAGTTGTCCACTTCTGCCAAAAAAAAAAAAAAAAACCAAAAAACAAAAAACAAAAAAGTCCTGTTGATATTTTTGACAGGAATTACACAAAATATCTAGATTTATTTGTGTAGAATTTCCATTTTAACAATATTGAAACTTCTAACCCATGAATATCAATGGTCGGAAATCCTTTTTAAGATATATTTGATTTTGGGGCCCCTGGGGGGCTCAGTGGGTTAAGCCTCTGCCTTTGGCTCAGGTCATGATCTCAGGGTCCTGGAATCAAGCCCCACATCAGGCTCTCTGATCAGCGGGGAGCCTGCTTCCCCCGTCCTCTCTGCCTGCCTCTCTGCCTACTTGTGATCTCTGTCTGTCAAATAAATAAATAAAATCTTTTAAAAAATTTAAAAAAAGATATATTTGATCTTAAGAGTGTTTTGAAACAATTGTTTTATCATGATTCTCAGAGAAATAATCCTCTATTTTATGAGTGAAGGGAACTTTAGGATGAAGACACAAAAAACCATTTGTATTAAAACTTTTTAGAATTGTTGAAACCATTGCAAAGTTACAGAAAACTTCTAAGTGGAAATAACTTTTTCCACTTAGAAAAAGCACCCGGTGTGTGTGTGTGTGGGGGGGGGGGGACGCTGACCTAAGACGCCATCAGCCCCAAGTCCGTCTGCAGGTGTTTCCAGGAAGCAAGTTTACTTTTCTCCATATGACCAACTAGGATGCCAAAATCAGGAAACGGATACATTTCTTCCCCGAAGCCTCGGACCCTGTTTGCCGGTTGTCCTGACAGTGACTTTTACAGAGAAATGAGACCTTCAGAGACCCGTAGGCAGACGCCATCAGCCTGCCTGCCGGGGTCCTTAGGGCTCCCGTGACTCTGACCCTGGTGGTCGTGGTCACAGACAGCAGCAGTGGGCATCCCTCGACCTAGGCCTGAAGCTCTCTGGGCTCAGTGGTTCGGGGAAGGGTCTTTGTCAGGAAGACCCCGGACGTGAGGCTGTTTCCCTCACTGCAGCTCTCTGGGTGATGCCCAAAGGCCCCGTGTCTCTGCTGTGAAGGTCGTCCCCCCACCTTTATAACTAACTATTGTCTAGATGTCCACTCTATCAATCAAGCTTTCTACTTGTTCATCTGTCTGAAGAGTGAGATAATTTCCTATTTTATTCCAAGTGTTATCTACCTTAATCTTTCGTTTTGATGCTGAAATGCCCCCAATTTGACCAGTGGGAGCCCCTCAAGGACACGTCACCCTCCCAGCATGCGGGCTTCCTCGCATGAAAAGACATGCAGGTTCACCTTGAGCATCTCCTGCACCAGCCCTGCACCGGCCATTTCCCGCGGGAACGCCTGCTCGTCGGAGAGGACGGCAGTGTCCACGGTACAGACAGGCACGGGGCACCTCTGCACTCCTGGGGAAACGCTCCCAGGTCGGGCTTTTCAGCTGGTTTGTCTGGGTCTGCTTCTACAGGGACTCCAGAAGGAAGCAGTTTCCAGTTCCTACGTATGTGCATCATACTGCTGCGGAGGCCTTCAGCGGACACTGTGTCTCAGGACGTCGGAGCGAGTTTGCAGGGAAGATGCTCATTAGCTACGGGCTCCTTACAGCCCCTGCCACGAGCCCCAGCGTGTCCCCACTGCTCCGGTGCATGTCAAACCCTTACTTCCCCGCCTCCAGGCCGTCTCTCTGGTGACGTCACGAGGGTTAGGCACGGCAAGCCCTGGGGTGGGAAAGCTCTCCATCCACCGGCACCTTTGCCAAGGGACACACAGTCCCCTCTAAAGCTGGTGGTTCAGGACAGGCGTCCTTCTCACCTGGCCCGCTGCTGGAATGCCATACCCTGAACTACCGCCCAAGAAAAACTGACCGCGATACAACTGCCTTGTATAGTGAGGCAAAAATCACTAAATAATTTAAATGAATTTGCCCTCTCAAAACTTGAATTGTTCTAATTAGAATGAATTGCAAAAATTTGGTGTTTTTTTTTTTTTCAAAATTGGTTTTTTCAAAGATACACGACTGGATTTTAATCCCACTTGGTACTACTACATAGTACAAACGCGTAGGAACAATTGCTTTCCGAGGTGCACAATTGCTTTTCAGACCTGAGAGAAGACGTGAGAGACCACGAGGAAGCAAGGAGGTCGTGACCACGATCACACGGTAGCTTCTCGGTGTTAGATCCACACGGAGGCACAGTCACGAGACCGTGTGCACACTCAGCGGTTTATGGGGACATCGCGTTGTCCGGTAGCTGCTTTAAAATGCTGCACGGAACACGGGGGCAGAGACAACCGGAAGGAGAGATGAAATGGAACCGTCCGACGGCGGGTCTGTGGGGAGCTGGACGGCGGTGCTGGCTGTCCCACGGCGTCCTTCACGCTCTTCCAGATGCTTCCAGGGAGGACGACCCGAAGATCGTAAGTACGCCAACGTCCAGAGCAAACTCTGCCAACACCAGCGGCGCGCACTTCCTGGCGTCACGAGGCGGTCCGGTCACCGAGGTCCTCCCGTTCTCCGCGCTATTTCTGCGCTCCCTCAAGTGTCTACGGCGAACACGTGTGTAGAGTCCGAGGAGATGCCGGTGCGGCTGCCCATGCGCCCCGTCTCCGCAGACCCTGCTGAGCCCGCTCCCGGCTGGCCCTGGGGGGTCTCACGGGGAGCCCCCCGCCTTCCTGCAGCTGAAGTCCCTCCCGCCCACGGCACGGAGGTGCCCGAAGCAGGAGGGAGCCTGACGTACCCACCGACTTAATACACACCCCAGACCGGGCTCATGGCAGAGAACCAAAGCCTCGCCAGCCCCGACCAGGCGGCCGCCCAGAAGGAGCCAGGCCTGGGGTCTGCGCGGGTCTCAGCCCTCACTGTGGAGCGTGGACGCCACCGCGACATGCCTGCTCCTCCCAAGCACGGGGCTGAGGGGGGACGGGACAGCGGCCCAGCCGACAGTCAGCCGCAGCCCGCCCCTCGGGAGGGGCGGCCCCCACCGACGCCGCCGTCCACTCGGGAGACGGTCTCAGACATGGACGTGGCTGGGACGACGCTCGGGAGCACACTCACCTGCAGAGGCACCACAGGACGAACCCGAGTCCACAGTACGGGTCCAGGCAGATGGCCACTTCTCGAGAGGGGTAGAGCTCACACTGCAGCTTAATGGAACGGCAGAAGGCACTGGTGGCTGCGTGAGACATCTGCAAGACAGCGAGGCCACCCTCAGTGCCCAGGCCCCACCCCCAGCACCCCAGGTGGGTGCAGGGAGACCACGGCAGAAGCCAGCTCCGGCCATGTGGGAGGACTGGGCGGCCACTCCCGGCGTCCTCCTGCTTGCAACGCCCACACACGGCTCCTCCGGGGCCCACGGACCTGGCAATCCAGCAGCCGAAGGAGCCGTGTCCGGCCCTCGAGAGGCGGGTCAGCTCATCGAGGCTTGTCCTGTGGTCCCGCAGCGCCGTGAGGAAGGGGGGAGGGGGGACACACGAGGGCTTGGGCCCCTCTCCGGGCTGGGACTGCGTCTGACTTGCACACGCCTGCCGTGCGACAGGGCCCGCGGCACAGGGGGCGGGCGTCCCAGGTCTGTGATCAGGGAGCCGGGCTCAGAGAAGGTGGTTTGCTGACGGTCACACACACCCGAGCTGGGTCACGGCCAGGGGCGGGAGGCGCGCAAGTCACGCGCCAGTAGCCACGCTCCCCCTGCCCCGCGTGACCGAGGGGACGGGAAGGCGCCCCCAGCCAGACTGTACGTGAGGGATTACATAATACCGTAAAACGTATCTGATAAAATCAATTTCCTCACAGAAACTTACTGGCCAATCCAACCTGAGAGGAAAAGGGAAACTTTTCCAAGTTTGTGGTTTCAAACGTGTCTTTGGCTGCCCTGAAGCCGACGTCCCCCAGGGCTGAGCTGTGCGAGGCGGCAGCGAGCCCCCTCCCACGCAGGCAGACCCAGCCCCACGTCTGGGAAAAGCACCATGAGTCACCCCAGCAGCCGGGGAGACGAGCCGGGACGGGGGACGTTTGTGCCGCGAACGTGGGAGCAGGGTCCGCGCTCCGGCCAGCGGGTCTCATCGCGGGTGCTGCACAGAGTTCACGAAAGGCAACACGGAATTACTCTAGAATCTAACACACGAGCGGCTCCTCTGGGCTTGCTCTTAAAGCCACATTTGCTTAAAGAAGAAACAACACTGGGTTAATGGAACGTTCCTTGAACCTCCCACCTGCCAGATCGTGAGTGAACAAAAGCCTCATCGCCCCGAGGCCCCACATTCCCACTGAAGTGAGCCTCCCCGAACCCCGCTCTGCGCAGGCACCGCTGGCAGCAGGAACAGAGCTCGAGCTCAGCTCAGCGAACGCTCATGTGCCGACCGAGGACAGGCTCTGTATCGGGCTCGGTATTAGGTGCTCGAATATAAAAAACAATAAAACACAGCGTCCAACCTCGTAACCCCATGGGAAGTGGAGAGAGAACCCTGTTAACGGCGGGGCCGTGAGCTCCTGGAGAGCCCAAGGGGAGCGGAGAATGGGCTCTCCCCGTGCCCTGGGGCTCACACAGGGCTCTGGGTCTTCAGGTAAGTGAGCACGAACAGATCTCATCACAGCGGCAAGGACACAGACGAAGAAAAACCCACCAGGAAGGCTGAAGGTCTCAGGTCCAAGTTCAACACCATCTTGGACCCTGTGGACACCACAGACCCGCAGGCCAGGCTGGGAGGAGGAGGCCCGGTCTCATGAAGACAGAATTGTGCCTGGATTAAGACCCCGTTTTCCATAAGCCCCAAACACAAGCCCTCAAGGCCTGCTCTGAGACACGGAGAACACACGTGGTCAGGTGGGGGCGGAGGGCACCTGCACTTATTTTTCGGACGCGGCTGGGACTTCTCACGGGAAGGGTTACTTTCCCGTGCGGTGTGACTGGCTGATGGTGAAACAAGCGTCCCCAGCCCGGGCGAGCACCAGCGGCACGGCCCCCCGAAAGCGAGCACACTCGGGGGAGGGAGAGCCGCCACAGCTCTAACACGTCCCGTGCGGGAGCCCAGAGGGCGACGAAGCGGAAGGGAACAGCAGAGGCCGTATGGGGCCCCCACACCACGTCCTTGTCGACGTCGTGCGAACGTGGTGCAGGCGCTACCAGGAGCCGCGGGGGTCCGAGTGGTGCCTCGGTCAAGTCAGGGCCAGAGCGCTCGAGCAGAACGTCAACTCGTGCTCGGGTCTGGCGCGGAACCGGGCGTCACGCAGAGCCCTTGGTGGGGAAAACGGTTTACTGGGGAGACTCCTCTCTCCACTCTGGGTACTTAACGCAATACTTAATGACGTTCTTGTTCAAAAGCTGGTACTGAACGAACATTTCCAAGAAACATGGTGCCAACGGCAACCAAAGAGGCAGAAGGGATTTCCCTCAGGACAGGACTGTAAACCAGGTGATCTCCGCTGGGTTTACGCCTCTTGGGATTCGAGGCAGACGGGTTTTCATTACATGACATCACAGCGTTTCGTCTCAGGTACTCATCAAACAAATTACATGTCAGAAGTTCATTAAGAACTTCCATAAATCCGCGGAGCACCCGAGTGGCACAATCGGTTAAGTTGCCGACTCTTGGTTTCGTGCCAGGTTGTGGTCTCAGGGTCGCGAGATCGACCCCGAACGGGACTCCACGCTCAGCAGCGAGTCTGCCGGGGACTCTCTCTCTCCCTCTGCCGCCACCCCTGTGCACCACTGTCTCGCTAAGATAAACACGTCTTCGGAAAAGGGAAGCTTCTGTAAATCTGAGAGAAAGCCTCGTTACTCATCTCACTGGGATTACGAGTGCTTAGACTTCCACTGAGCGGAGGGACCGTGAGGTACCAGCACAGGTCGCTCGATCGCTCTTTCCAGCAGAAGCGCCTTTACCGAATCGAGAGGTGACGCGACGGACCCCTCTGCAGACGGTGAAAACCAGAGGATCACGTGTGCTGCCCTTCGGGGGTGACCGGGGGAGGCTCGGGCCGCCTGCGGTCCTGTGCGACTCACTTATCTTGGTCTGAGAAGAGATCTGGACTCCGAAAGGCTTTTGAAGGGGCGCCCGAGTGGCTCAGTCAGTGACGTGACTGACTCCTGATTTCCGCTCAGGTCACGGTCTCAGGGTCGGGAGATCGAGCCCCAGGCCGAGCTCTTTCCGCGTGGAGCCTCCTTGAGCCGGTCTCTCCCCCGCCCGCCCCTCTCTGCTGGTGCACACTCTCTCTCAAGCAAGTAAGTCTTCAAAAGGCTTTTGAAGACTGTTTTATTTTATAGCCACTTTATTTGTGTGGCACCTCAGATTCTACTGAAAAGCGAAGGAGAGGATTCTGGGAAGACGGTCTCCATAGCAACCAGACAACAACTGCCTGGGCAGACACTGAGGAAACTATTTCGAGCTCTGGAACCTGCTAAGGTTTTTAACTTCCAGGGGAAAGCTCGGGCAATGGCGATTAATCTTGGAAAAATGAAAACATTGCCATGAAAAAAAAAGTTGTGGGCACTCACGACGCTCGGACTGCACAGGAAAGGCTCAGGGAGTCCTACGGGTTGAAACGGAAAGACACTGGATGCAGCTGGAAATCGTCTGAATAAATCAGAGTCTCAGTAACGGTGAGTACGAGGCAGCCATAAAAGCTATCGTAATCCTGGCTCACCCGGGGGGGCTCAGTCGGGTGGTGCAGCTCAGGGCATGATCTCAGGGTCGTAAGACGGAGCCCCAAGCTGCACTCCACACTCAGTAGGAATTCGGCCTGGAGGCTCTCCTTCTGCCCCTCCCTCCCCTCCTCTCTCCCCCCACTTCTAAGACAAATAAATAAGTCTTTAAAAAGCTAGTATATTCCTAAGAATACTTTATAACTCTACCCTTCATTTTCTACGTGATTTAAGAGACTAACATGGTAAAACAAAGCAATTATCAGTCAAAAAACTATTACTGTAACTTTGGGTTTAAATTCCACCCCCCCACCCACATAACGGACAGATCAATGCATTTAAAAGAATTATTACTACATATTTTGGGCCTTTATGTGCATAAAGACATAACTTTGAGACATCAGCAACTGAGAGGCAGAGATGGAACCATTTTTTGTGTCCCTGAAATTAAGCAGGGATAATCCAAACTGGAGAGTTACAACTGTAGGTTGCCCAACCCAATCCCCATGGTCACCTCAAAGACAAAACCTGTAGGAGATATACGAAAGGAAATGAGAAAGGAATCCAAATGTTTCACTACAAAAAATCAACTAAGCACAAAAGAGTAATGCAGGAAATGAGTAACAGGAAAGTTGTAAGACATATAGAAAATAATGAGCAAGATGGCAGAAGTCCCTTCATTGGAAAAAAATTATTTATTTTGGAGAGTGCAAGTGAGGGGAGGGGCGGAGGGAGGGAGAGTCTCAAGCAGACTTCATGCTGAGTGGGGAGCCGACACAGGGCTAGATTTCACGACCCTGAGATCATGACCTGAGCCAAAATGAAGAGTCGGACACTTAATCAACTGTGTCACCAGGTGCCCCAGAGCAGTCCCTCCTTACCAGCAACTGCTGTAATGTGGACAGATTAACTCTCCAAAGCCAGAAATTGGCAAAGTGAATAAAATACATGATCCAACCATATGCTACCTACAAGAGACTCATTTTATTTATTTTTATAAAAGATTTATTTATTTGAGAGAGAGAGAGCAAGAGGAAAAGAGAGAGCAAGCCTGCAGGGATGGGGCGGGGGAGAGGGAGACAGAAATCGGAGCAGACTTTGTGTTGTGTGCGGGGCTTGATCTCATGACCTGGAGACCACGACCCCAGCCGAAACCAAGGGTTGGACCCCCAACCAACTGCGCCACCCAGGCACCCCCAAGAGATTCATTTTAGATCAAAAGACAGAAATAGCTCGAAAGTGAAAGAACGGATAAAGGCATCCCACGCCAAGAGTGAGCAGACGAGAGCAGAGGTTGCTCAACTAGTATCGGACATGCGGACTTCCAAAGGGATGGCACGGGACGGGCCGGGGCGTCACTATTAACACAGGGTTCGGCACAGCAGGAAGATCTGACGATTGTGAACATCACCCACCAGGCAACACACTGCCCGATGACAAGGCACCGTCGACAAATGACGCCAAAATGGACAAAAACTAAAGGGAGAAATTGACGCTCCTCCCGCGACAGAGACTTCGACGGCTACTCTCGGTCATGGTCAGAACAAC